CAGGCGAAATTTCTCCGTCCCCACTGTCATTAGCTTCTCAGCACCCTCGGAATGCCTCCACTCCACGTAGTTCTCTCTACGTCTTGAACTTCTTTCCAGAAATTCCCTCTTCTGTTCTTAGTTACTTAGTTATTCCCTTGACGGCTAATCCAATTGCTTTCTCTTATTAGACTTGAAAGGTGGCCAACGTGTACAGTTTCACTTTTTAACAAGTGTAAATGTTATCGTGGATGGTTTGATCTGGTTTGGTTCAATTGAATACAAACGTGAGATCCCAAAGTAGAAAGTCAAAACTAAAGGCGGATACAATCTTGATCCATTGACTTTCATGACAAAACTTTGGCGAACAAATGGCCAACATTAATGATTTGTTGCACTTATGTTGAAGCAATTGTCCTGTAACAGTCATGACAAAGATAGCAGCCTTATATAGGCATGAAAGGTTTGCGCAAGAGTATCGAAGCAAGTGCATAAACATAGTTGTAAATGCGCAATAATGATTTCTTGGGACAGATTTATTTTTTAGTTTCTTTATTTTATCTAAAAATTGCTCTCGTTCGATCTGGAAATTGAGTGAATAGTGGAAAAACATGCCACTCGGATTAGAACTGTGGCACGAGAACGCCAGCGCCTTGATTGAGACATTTTTTGGCATGAATTACTTAAGTGTCAAGTGTATAGCCACAAAGAAATTATACAAGGCAATTCACACTTGCTTCTCAATAGTTGGTTTGTCTTTAATGATTTTATCTATCGAAATTTAGACCAAATGGTATCTAAACAGCTTGATAAAATGATTTCACATGAATTCAAACTAATGGTTTCAATTCGATTTTTCAATTTGACAAATTTTTTTTCACCTCTAGTTGGGGAACATGGAAAAGTACTAGAAGGACAAATGGTTGGACAAAATTTTCATTTAGAAAAATTGTAACTAGAGTTTCTAACATTTCTGAAAATTGCAACGGGTCCCTAACTTACTAATTTGGCTCGCATCTCTAATCTTTGAAAAATATGCACTTGAAAGACCTTTGGACAATAACCATATATTTGGTTTCATTTCTTTTGGAACAATCACAAACATTTTTTTTTATTATGGATTAGGCTCGAACAATTGTCTATAAAAAACACAGGTCTTAGCAAAGTTGTGAGATCATGTATAGGGGCATTGAAATGTTCGTTAGTTTTAACATGTACTACATGTTAAAACTTTCATAGTGGCAAAAGAGTGCTTACATAGTATCAGTAAATAGAGAGAGAGAGAGAGAGATTTAAAAATAAAAAAAATTCATCATCTCCACCCTCTTCTTATCCCCACCACCAAAACAAATTGCGACACCAACTACATCCCTAAAACCAATTGTCGGTGGTCACCCCTTCCCCATGGTTTCCAAATAAATGTAGGGAACCCCAAAAGTTCGCAAAAACTATGGAAACAGAGGGTGAGAAGGAATTTCTCTCACGAGTTTCACTTCGCTACTCATAAAGTGGTGTGTGGGTGGTGGATATTGTAGAAGATGGGAAATTTTCCTTTTTACTTAAATTTTTAAATCAATTTTACTATTTTAAGTAACAAAATGTGTAGAGAGCTGACAATTATAATTGAATTAGACTTCTCACAGGGTGTGTACAAGGTACTCACATGGAATATGGGTCCGACGAGGGACCTCATGTAATAAAATATTGTCAAAAAAAAAAAGGGGCTGGCCCACCACATTGTGAATAGTCTGTAGAGTTTTTGTAGAAATTCTTTCTGACAGTGTAGTGCTGCTCATGTGTCGAACTAACATACTTTTGCATGGTTATTGTCCAAATTTTCTTCAATCACATATGTTTATCTAAGATGGCGGTGTCAAAAATTTGGTGGTTAGAAAACTTGTTGTCAAGGATTCAAATTCGAAAAGTAAAACTTGAAAACAAACAAATATCGCATGTTATTCTTGTTATACTTTTATGAATAAATTGAGCTTTAGCTAAACGGATTCATAGATTGATTTAAGGCTTTGTTTGATTCTTAATTCCTCCAAAACACATTTTTTCCGCTCGTCTTTTCAATCACACATTCTTCATTGAAATAATATTACACGTAAATAAAAAATATTTCCTTATTTTTCAATAACATATTTCCCATCAATTTACTATTTTAAAATGTATTTTTTTAATAAAAATGAGGCTCAAACACACTCTAAATAACAAATCTTCAAATGGGGAATTTATTAATTTGTATAAAGGAAGATACATTTTTATTATTTTATATTGAAAATATACTTTAGTTACATTTAAAACAGAGTGAGTTAATTACTCCAAACATCACTGAACTTTACCTGAAGTTTCCAGCAGGTCATTGAACTTAAAAAACAACGCCATTCATCACTGAACTTTTGATACTGCTACCCCATCCATCACCGAACAGAAGTCTGTCAAAAAACTTAACTGAAATCATGACGTGGTTGATGGAGCTCATGATGTGGCCATTTTTGTAAGTGATTTTTGCCAAATCGTATAAGTGCTAGTGACGTGTTAAAATGCAAACACGTTGTTACCTAAAAAAAAAAAACAAAACAAATTTTAAAAACAAAAACCCAAATCAAACCCCCGACACCGTACTCCCCCAATTGCCAACAATTACCCATTTCCCCCATTGCCATTGCCCTCCAATTGAAACCCAAAACCCTCTTCTCTCGTTAACAACAAATGCCCGGCTAGAAAATTGAGAGACAATTCTGCAAGTCGACGATGTAGAGCTTCTAATCCTGAGCCAAGATCCTGCAAATCGCGATCGCAAGAATCACAAAACCTCCAGCGCAAGAACCCTAGAAATCCAAACCTGCAGAGAACCCTAAAATTGCGTGGGGGAAGATTAATGATGGTAATAAATCTGTTGAGGAATTTCTTTTGGTTTTACTTGGTGCATATGAAGCTTCTCATGGTGGTAGTAAAAATTCAAATGGTTCTGATGGTGCAATTGATACGCTTCTATCCAGGGAGGATAAGAGCAGCAGTTCTGTTCAATCTCATAGCATCAAAATTGAGATTAAATCTCCAGGAAGTCAATGAACGAGGTGAGGACCTACATATGACACAAGATCTTCTGAACGAGGATAAGAAATTTTACATCGTTGGATTCTACATATTGTTGCTAGTTGCTATAACATTTTTCCTATTGTAAGTAGTGTAGCTCACGGCTCAAGCGTTGGTCTGGGGAAGGCCGAATTTGTTTGTAGTGAGGATGGTGAACATAAAGGCGGTGTTGCTGTAATTTATTTCCAGTGTGGATGATAGATTTGTTTAGTGTGGATGCCTTTGTTTCGATCATTTTGTGGTTAGACAGTCTACTCCCATTTTGTAGCACTCATTTTGTGGATCTGTAATGTCTTTCCGTTTGCTGTAGTATTCCTGTAATGTGTATCAGTTTGCTAGTGAAATGACTTTGGACATGGGTACAAGTATGTTGGTGTAACATGTTTCAAATTTGAGTTTGCTTCAATTCCAAAATTCCAACAAGTTCTTGTGATTATTCAATACCAAAATCATTAAAATTGCAGCGTATAATAAAAACTAAAATGATACACTAGAACAGAAAATGTGTTTCCATTTCTTGCCAACACTGGAATTACATAAGAGGTTTTCAAAAGAAGTGTCTAGGCCAAAATAACTAAACAGATTTTCACATTTGGTGTATCCGACATCTCGGTCCAATCATTTAAAATAAGGAATTATCCAAAAATAACAAAACGTATTCTGCCATTAGTAGCATCCCATCCTCGATCATTTTCAGGCCAAAATAACTTAACAGATTGTCACATTTGGTGTATCCGACATCTCGTTCCAATCATTCAAAATAAGGAATTATCCCAAAATAACAAAACATAATCTGCTATTAGTAGCATCCCAACCTCGATCATTTTCAGCGGTCATCAACAACTTGCTGATCCTCAGTTGCACTTGGACCGGTATGTAGTACGTTCGTCACTTTGTGGGATCGTTTGTTGTGTCCCTTTACTCTACACACTGAACATGTCATAAACACCATACCCTTTTTCTTTACTGACATTACTGATTATGATTTTGTTTGTGATTGAGAGGTTTCATTCTCTTCAGGTCCTTTCCTTCTCTTTCTTTGTTTCCTTCCTTTTGTAGCAACGTACCAAGGTGGATGCTTAACAAGTGGTTGTTCAGTTTCAGGCCACAACTCTTTGTCGTTCATTGGATATATAAAATGTTCATATGTGCTCAAGTAGGTGTCAATTGTAAACAATTCCGACACGTAATCCTTTATCTCATTTCCTTTGTCTAAGATGCAAGCAATAGCGTGTGAACATGGGATTCCTGATATTTCCCATCATCGACAAGCACACATTTTGTTCTCCATGTCAACTATGTATTCACCATTTGGACACTCCACTTGATATTGATGTACCCCATTCCACCGCAAGATGCATTCACGGACCACATCAACATTTTTTTTCTAGAATCTTTTGGATTTTCGGACATATTGAGTTGATGTAGCTTCTCATTTTGTCCCTCTTCATTTGAATTCTATGCATCAACTTCATTTGAATCCAATCAACAGCGTTAGAATCGATTTATTCCTTTCCTCAAGAATAAATTTGTTGAAGCACTCGCATAGGTTTTTAAGGAGCATTTCGCACTTTGCTTGGTCAGAAAAGTGAGACCTACTCCACTCAGACGGTGGTTTGGCCTTCAACAATCTGTAGGCCGTCGGACTAGCAGTTTCAATCTTTGACATCCAGTGTTTAAACGAAGCCAAATGACTTGATTTTGTAGGACCCCACAAGCAATCTTTTAAGTACTTTCCCGTGAACTCGCGTCGAAAAAAGTTCTGATACATATGCCTAATACAAAACCTATGTTCTGCTACGGGAAATAGATCGACAACAACTTTAACTAGTCCTTTTTCTCTATCACTCATGAAGGTTACGGACACCCAATTCTCTATAGAAAGGTCCTCAGCTAACAACATAAGAAACCAACGCCATGAACTAGTGTTTTCTTTCTCAACTATTGCATATGCAATAAGATATATGGAATCATTGGCATCAACCCCAATTGCTGCTAGCAACTGACCACCGTATTTTCCTTTCAAAAAATCCGTCTATGCTCACAAAACATTAACAACCTTGTAGGAATCCTCTCTTACATGCCTCAATGCAAATGTAGATACCTCTAAGAACATTATCCACCTGAGAAATGATCACAATTGAACCCGGATTTGTTTTTCTCAATTCAGCCCCATAACGCCATAGCAAAGCAAATTGTTTTTCATCGCTACGTTCTACTAAAACCTTAGCGTATTTTCTCGAATTCCAAGCGACTACCTTAGTAATGTGCGAACCAAAATCCTTTCTCACAATAGTTCTAAAATGTTTTGTCTTCCATTTAGGATTAACTTTGAAGTCCTCCAAATAATATTCCGCAAGCCATTTATAGTTTGCATACTTATTTGCCCGAACCTTAAAACAAATGTATTTCGGATCACAGGTTTTTATCTGAACAGTGTCTCGATCCTGTAACTTTGACACCCACAACTTCCATGGGCATCCATCTTTACAAAAACAATGAACACGATCTTTATCGTTTCGTTTGAAGATAGGTTCAACCCGATTGAACACCACATAATTCCTCACAACAGATTTTAGCTCGTCGAACGAAGCAAAAAGTAACCCAACTTCAAGATGCGGATTCTTCTTTTCATTTCCATCATAATATTTAGGATAAGTCAATTGACCTCTATTATACTCCGAATCTGAACTATTGCCAAATTTTAACTCTTCTGAAGTTGCATATGAAGAACTATGTAATTCAAGGTCTTCTTCATACTCCACCATGGTATGCATATCCATTTCAATACCTTTTCTCACACTACGATCGAACAGACTGTCATCATCATCATACACATCATAGTTCGAGTCATCTACATTTGTATTAAAAATTACATAAGTTAAAGACTCCAGTAATGTAAAATAAATGATACTATCCAATTGAAAAAAAAAATCATTTAAAATACTACTACAACCAATTGAATCAATGTAGATGGAGATTTTTTTTTCCTAACCTGTCGATTGTTTCTCAACATCTGCCATTTCGGTACAAACAGAAGGGAGGCGATTGCAGGTTAGTTGAAGGTTCGCTACCTATTTGCAATGGAGGTCAGCCCTTGATCGGAGGTTCTTCAAAGGTTCCCAACGTTCGCTGAAGGTCGCGTTTTTAGGGTTCTCTGTAGGTTCGGATTTCTAGGGTTCTTGAGCTTGGAGGTTTTGTGGTTTTTGCGGTCACGATTTGCAGGATCTTGGCTCGGGATTAGAAGCTCTATATCGTCGACTTGCAGAATTGTCTCTCAATTTTCTGACCAGGCATTTCTCATCGATGGGGGAAGGGGGTTTTGGGTTTCAATTGGAGGGAAATGGGTAATTGTTGGCAATTGGGGGAAAACGGGGTCGGGGTTTGATTTGGGTTTTTGTTTTTTTAGGTAAAAAACGTGTTTGCATTTTGACACGTCACTAGCACTTATACGATTTGGCAAAAATTACTTACAAAAACGGCCACGTCATGAGCTCCGTCAGCCACATCATGATTTCAGTTAAGTTTCTTGACAGACTTCTGTTCGGTGATGGATGGGGTAGCAATATCAAAAGTTCAGTGATAAATGACGTTGTTTTTTAAGTTCAATGACCTACTGAAAACTTTAGATAAAGTCTGAAAACTTTAGGTAAAGTTAAGTGATGTTTGGGATAATTAACTCTAAAAGAGTTAATAAAACCTATTGGATCAAACTTCCAAGTGTAAAAACCTGCTCAGCTTTTGATGTTCTCTCTTCAATTCGTAGAGTACCGTTGGTCGGAAGAAAATGACACTGTACTATGCTGTCTGAATTCAATATTCATAAGTCTAGATTTGGTCAAACACCAATTGAAAAATACGAAAACAAGAAAAGAAATTTGCATTTAAAATTTGGACTCCCAAGACATCTCCTCCTTCTTTCTTTATACTCTCTCTCAAATTTTCGCGACGTGTTGTATCAGTTTACATACACATACAGCGGTGCAAACGGATGATAAGGCTTGACTCTGATAATAGTTATATCCCGATACTTGAGAAAAAATGCACATCGATTTTTGTAATTTCATCTTAAACCCTTTTTACTATTTCTACTAATTGGATTTTGGGCTTTTGTAGATTTCGGGTGTTTCTGGATTTCACTTTTGAAGAGGTCGGATTGTGTTTATTCGACCAATAACTTTCTTTATTATTTAAAGGTAAGCCAATCTAGGTAAAGTTACCTCTTTTTCGATGTTTGAATTTGATATTTATGTACATTTCCTTTTTGGGTTCTATACTTGTGTGTATATTTATTTAAAATCGTAGATTTTAGGATTTATTTATTCATGATTTTGTATACTATGAGTCTTTTTGTACTAATAGCTGTTTGCTGTTTGGTATTCAGTCTGTTGCATATAGTGCTAAGTTTAGGCCTTTGAATACGAGGGCAAGTGAAGGAACTAGTTTGTCATGGCATGTCTTTCATACATTCAGGAGAGTGACCATACTTTCCCATGAGAGAAACAATACAAGAAATATCACACTTGATATGTGTCCAAACCTAAGCCCTTGTAAATTTTTTCTCAATTGCGAAAGAGCTTTCTCGAATCTTTTATGTGCATTGTTCTGTCTTGCTCTCATGCACCCTACTCAAGTCTTCGTGAAATCACTTAATGTGGATGAAATAATTTGCTTGTTTAGCACACTTAGGTTGTCTCAAAGTTAAAGCCTAATAAAAACACTGAGACACCAATCTGCCTCCGCACCTAGGATTGCTTGTATTCGAAGATGCCTAGCTTGCACTATGCACCTGATAAATAAAAAAAAAAAAAAAAATATATATATATATATATATATATATCAAAGATTGTTTGCTTTGCACAATCAATGATAAGTTTTGTCCTCATCTTGGTTTCATTTTCTATTCCTCTTAAGACAAGAATGATGATTTTTTTTGTTTCAAGTCTTGGACATCTTGCTGCAGAGCTAGTTAGTCACTAGGCCTTCGTAAGACTCAGGAAGAGGTAAGAAGACAAAGGGCCTTCTCCTCTTTCTCAATATTAAAATAGATATATCATATTCTTGTATGCCTTGATCTTCAACCTGTACAGTTCCCAGTTCTGGTGCAATTCTTACACACATATATTTTCTCCAGTTTTTTCATAGTCGTGGTGTTGAATCTTTGAATTGTCATATGCTATCATTCATGAATGTAGGACCAGTGAATACTCGAATTTAATGTGGTTGGGCAAGACTTGCCTGTGAGAAGACTTGTCTACATCCAGAGATAGAACAAGTAAGTGACCCATGTGCTTGTACACATTCGATCAACTCACCGACACTTTCAACCATTTGTATATGTCCTCCTCACTCTCAGCCTGTATGGAACTGTCAATTTACCAATGACCAAGTTGTTTAACAAATTTGGATTCCACTAGGTCGGTTCGCTTTACATGGAGTTGCAAGTTGTGGAAATTGGTTGAATCTTGAAATAGTCCAGTTAACAGGATTGGATATTTAGAGGAGGAGAATTTTTCTCATAGTTTTTACTCTTTTAACCATAAATACACCATTTGTTTTAACCATAAATACACTATTAGGGAGGAAAAGTAATTGGCAGTAGGAATCTCCTCGTGTGGGTCTTCATTGAGTTGGCAGAGTGGAAGTAGGTGCAAGTGGAACCAAGAAGATAATTATGAGCTTTTTCGAAAGTAGTTTTGGAATAACAATGTGAAAAAATCCTTCTTAAGTAGCTATTATCTCGGAATATCTTAAAAGAGAGTTTGGCAATCAAAACAAAATGGAGTTAGTATTTTCCAACCTTATTTAATTTTATGGCTTAGTAATGTCCAATGTATCATAAACTGTTTAAAATGGGCATGCAACTTGATTTGAAATACACACCAAACATCTTTAATGGACATTTTAAATCTATGATCAATTCAAAATATTGTTCAATACTACTGTCCAAATTTCAGGTGTCTGAGCCCCTTCATGGATTCAGAAGAGTTGAAATAACATTGTGGTTCCGTCATGGTTTATCCATGGGTCCAGGTTTTAACCATTTTTAAGTAATCTAATTTCATTTTATGTCTTCAATACCATTGTGTTTCAATTTTATTTTTATTTTTTTTTGAACATCATACTATTGTGCTTCACCCATCAGCGCTTCGTGAAAAGTTTTAGGTTAAAATACCCTTCTCAAATTGAAGCTCTCTGTTACCACGGCTTCGGCTATTTCTTTTTTTTTAAGGAAAAAAATTCAGTTGGCCTTCAATACCAATTTTATTAGTTAATAGGTTTACATGGTTATGGTTATAATAACTATAATTGGGTGCGATTTTGTTTTTTCCCCCATTTAATGTTAAATCAGTATGTTTTGTTTTGATATATTTCCATTTTGGTGGTGCTTTCCATTATTATGCTTGTCTCTTCCCAGGTTTCAAAAGGTAATTCGTGAGTCTGATATTGACCATGTCGGCTATCATCATATGTTTTTTAGAACTTGGTATAGGAGAGATATATCAGATAATAAAGTGTTCGTATACATAGCAGCACCATCTATGATCCTTGGTAGCGTTGACCTCACGTATCAACCTATTTTGGATTCTTCTAATGAACATTCAAATCGTTAAATATTGTAGTGAAGTGAGCCATGATACTGCTGCTTAAATGGCAATATTCAATCTTCATTTGCCTATAGGGGTGTGACTCCCCTTGAATGGTGCATGGACTGATGCATGGTTCTTATATGGACATACTACCTAGAGTATATGGAGTATGCTATCTGATGACACTCTTCTAATGATTGAGCATAAAGACATGAAATCAATTATCCACACGGGAAATAGATTTATCAAGTTCCAGACCAAGAATGGAAAAAAATATAACTAATTTGTTTCCTGGGAATGAGTAAATCGAAAACATGAAGGGTTACCTTTGGGAATGAGAGATTTTTTAAGATTTGTCGTTACAAAGCTAAATACCTGAAAACATTCCAGTTGACGGAGCATCAAGAGGAGCTGAATCTGTCCATAGGATGGAGAGGATCCATTTCTGGCTTTCCCATATATGTTAACATGTTAGCCTTCTTGAAATCTAGTAGTTAACACTGTTGTGATGTCATGTTTTTTGATGTGATGTACATATACTGCTGTCATATCATATCTTGTTTATGTATGCACCAAAATGTTCAAAGTTTGTCATTATCTTGGTCCAGAGAACATCTTATATATCTTTAACTGGGCTTTGATGCTGACATAAGTGCATTGAAGTAACTTTCAATTTGTTATTGCTGTCTCATGAGTAGTAAAATCTCAGTCATGTTACCTCTTATATGAGAACAACTTTTGTTGGATATTCACTATGTTTTAATCTGTGTGAATGGATTTTGCACGATTAATTAGTTGCATTTTTCAAAACATTTTCTTTTATCAATGATGTTGTGTCATTTTCCTCCATCAACGGCAAAGTTTTCAGCCTAAAACCTGCTAAAGTGGCAGTACACCTCTTCCCCGAGGCCACTCCGGTGTGAAAGGAAGTATGGGAGGAAAGTACTGTTCTTGAAGAAGGATATGTAATGACTGAATGTGAAAACACCCCATGCCTGGGATTTTCACCTTCTTTATATAGAAGTAGGGCGTGATGACGTGGCTTTACAGCTGTGGTTGAATACTTATCCATTCCTGAAATCACGATGTAAGATAAGATATGTTCCCAGTCATACTTAGTTATAAACGATGTACTAGAGGCATCTAGCTAGATTATTCAAACAATATATTTTAAATGAGCTAGTCATCATGCGTTTAGTTGAGTCACAGTAATGATAGTGGACAGATAAGCGGTGAGTGTAAGTGGAAACTAATGTACTCAACCTTCTTCGCATTGACCAAATAAATTAACCTTTCCCTCATGATAAAGTGAGGGTTGTCCGGTCGACTACCAGCGTTGACTAGGTTGGTCAACCTTCTCCGACAATGCAAGGGAGGAACGTTGGTGGCTATAATAAAAGCATCAATCAATTCACTCTTTATTGAAAGATAACCAATGAGAACTAAAGCAGGACAAGTTATGGAAGGCAAGTGCGAAGCTTCAACTTAGGTAGTTTAATAATATTTTCCCCTTATGGCTTACATGTTGCTGATATTGTCTCCATTTGCAAAATGGTATATAAAGAGAAATAGTAGTGGATCCCACAAAATGTGCGGATAATAATGAGTAGTAGTTACGAATGTGTGGTTTAAATTTATGAACCATTTATAAATTCTTCCCATACGGAGGCGTAGTTGCCAATATTTCGTCAACTTATGTTTTTCTGACATTCTTATAGATGTTGTAGGCATTTTTCCAAATAAACAAGGGTACCTAACCCATTTCTAATCCTTGTCCATATGTAATGCCCTCATCTGGATTCTCATGTAAAGTGCAGGAAGCCAGCATTTTTTGGGCAATAATTCTATTTCCAGAAGCATGTATCCAGATCAGAACACTGCATCTCCAAAATTGAAACTAGCTGTATCTTTGAAGGGAACCGCTAAAGAAGGTGCAATTGGACCACCTCTCGGTCTTATTGACATAGGAGAAAGTGAAGGTGGCTATCTTTTCCGTGTTGCCCTTCCTGGTGTGAAGAGTAGTAACAGTAATTATCTAATTTCTTTCTTCTTTGTCACACATGCATACTCTAGCCCCAAGTACAATGCCAAACAAATTTCATTGCAATGGTTCTTGTATCAGGTAATTTGAAGTGTGATATACATTCAGACGGAAGTGTGCGCATAGAGGGGGTTGTAGCAGATGCTCAAATTTTGAAAAATGAATCTGAGGAATTTGAATTGAAACTACATCAGCTCTGCCCAGCAGGCCCTTTCACCATATCTTTCAATTTGCCTGGACCAGTGGACCCCAGATTATTTTCACCAAGTTTTCAACCAGATGGTATACTGGAGGTCGTGGTGCTAAAACAAAGAACTCCTCATGTTGCAACTGAAGGCGCGTGATAATTGGTATCTTCGCTTGTAGCCACATTCATAAGTCTGCTAAGATTGCTTAATTTATTTTTCTTTAGCAAATTATACGTTTGCAAGCCTTGCAGTTTCACTATGCATTTCTTTGGAAGGAGTTTCAATCAAATCATACTCATATTGCTGATCGTGTTTAAGAGCCTCGTTGGTGGCGTCTTTAATCTGGTTTAGTAATCAGGTCTAATTTATTTGTACTTGAAATTCGGTAGTTCATTATGTTTAGAAGTTGGCTTTAGAGACCTGTATGCAGTAAGACTTATCTGTCCTTATTTCTTATACAATCAAATTACACGGTAACAACAATACAGGAAATAGACAACACACAGCAAGGAAAAAAGGAAAGCCTGAATAAGTCACTTAGTTTTGGTAGGAAAAGAGGCCATTTTGTTGATGCCACAAAGCCCTTCTGACTTCCCAGTGTTTCTCTTCATCCTTATATACCCTTTCTCTCCCCATTTTGGTCCCCATGAGTTCTTTACAATTATGTAGTCCATACTATTTGTTGATCCATATCCAACAGCTGCCACTCCGTGATCAAGCTGAGTTCCGCAGTGCCCATCAAATACACCCCCTTTGTAGAATTGGAAATCTCTACCGGAAGCCTCAATGGCCAAGCTCACAGGCTGGTTTGTGAGTGCTTTCAATAGACTTTGTTCATCATTCCTCGGCACATCATGGTAACCACTAATTGTGACTGCCTCTGATTCATCCTGAAACCACTTGCTGAAAGATTATTGTGTTGAACTATGTGGAACCTAATTATTCTATTCATTTCTTATATTTTAGGGGTATATAGGGCATACATATTTTTTATTAGGTCATGGTAGTTAAATATGTTACATAAATGAATCTGAGAGGATTGTTCTTCTCCATGCGATAGGACGAACAAGCGTGAGAAAAAAAGCTCATGAAAAATTTGTATCAAAAAGTGAGTAATGTAAATGTTAGTTTGTATAAACTAGTAGTATTATTATCGAAGGCTTTTTTTCCTTACCCTATGCTTTTCACAGGTTCCTTCTTCCATCAAATAGGGATAGTCTTCTTCCTTATGGAGCCCTCCATTAGAAACAACAAAGGCAAATGCATAATCCATTAAACCTCCATTGCAGCCATTGTTATATTTAGTGTCACAGTCAATCAACTCTTGTTCAGACAACTCTGTTAAATTTCCTGTTACAATTTGGTTTATGCCCTCAATTGCAGCTACTGTCGAAAATGCCCAGCAGCTGCCTGCATGCACATTAATCATTCAAGTTAGTCATCAATTTCTCTAGTCTGAGTTTTGCATATGCATTGTGCAACAAGTTTTAGTTACTTACCACATGAACCTTGGTTCTTGACACCAGTTACTGCCCCCTTCTTTCTCCAGTCAACGGATTTGGGCAAATCCACGAAATCTCTGTACTTGAATTGTTCAGGGGACTCATTTCGTTGAGGCAATGAATCAGCCTTGAGCCCAAGATACATATTCTTGAACTCTTCATGACTCAAATCTGCAAACTCGTTCAAACCGAGCCAGTAGTTATGGATGTTCTTATTTCTCTCATCGATGTGTTTAAGGTTGTCTTTGAAAATCTCGAACCTGTGCAACTTCTCTTCAATGCTCTTATAATTCTTATCGTGTTTTTCAATCCATGACTCAAAGAGATCGATGAGACTATCAATGCTCGTTAAATCGTCTGGAGAATACCCCACGATTGAGAAATCACGAGAAGATGCTTTGCAGGTCGAGAACAGCAAGAGAAATGCAAGAAACAACATCATTAAAAATGAAGGGAGAGCCATCAATTTGTAGAACTTAGAAGGAAAGAAATATTGATGGATGAAGTGGGAAACAAAGGAAACCAACTAGGGATTTATATAGGTTCTCCATGGTGTGTTGCTTACGAGTAAAGTTGATGAATGAAATGTACATTCAGTTCTATACTGAACCTTTAAGAATGGTTCTTTTGTTGGGCTTCGAATCAAAGATTGTCCCAAATATAATATCTTGATGATACAATACATGACGAATGCTATGAATTGCTAGACTATGGGAGACCATGAGTCATGAAATTTAAACCCTTGTCGTTATAGTTAAAAATCAGATTTTTAATAAATTTTAATAAAAATTGATAAAACCTGTGGTTCAAAGGTTACGGGTTCCATAAAATATATGGTTAAAATTAATTTTCGACTTTAATTTAAATATTTTGCAAGATTAAAATCCACACCAAACAAGGACTTAAAAGCACATCGGGTATGTATATATGTACGACTAGTCACCAAAATTAGTTAGTGTGATCGATTTGTTAGAAATTGTATTGTTAGAATAATGTTATTCATAATCAGTTGTCATTCTTTGTGGTATGTTGTTATTTGTAGCATTAGTAGATAACAATTTAATAACAAGCTGTTACATAGAATGACTACTAACAATCGTTAACTATAAATATCATTATTCTTTGTACTAAGCTAATACGAAAAAAAATAATTTCAGGGTGTCCCGCCTTAGATATCTAGATGTGAGCAAGAAGCTTTTGACGACTTAGAACGATGATATCAAAACTCCTTGAGTATCTTCGGGATTAATCGACGAGGCTATTATAGATAGATCCTCGTTAGGAGTATAGTTTTAACTTTCTGTTGAATAAAGGCTCCCTCTTAGTGTCATTTAACTTGATTCCAATAGCATCTACTTCGCCCTTTGGTGGTTCACTTCTTGTGTTGGCCCTACAACCAAATTTGAGTAAACCCAAACTTCTGTTGAGTTGGAAATCTTGCGTCCCACATTTTGATCGTGTTGAATTTTTATTTATTTATTTATTTATTTTTTTGAGAAATTACATATATAGACTGTAATATAAATGAATATTGAAATAGACTAGTTTCTTCCTCAAATTGATCAACCGATTAAATGTTTCATTGGAAATTATTGGAAAGGCAAAGAAAAGGTTTTTTATGGAATGTTTCCTTACAAATATTAAATGCAACTGTTTCTTTTTACAAATTTATTCCTGTTGTAAATGGTAAGTTTATTTGTTATATCTCTACAATCCTAGTAGTTATTACCTTTGTACCCTTAATTCTTCTCTATAAATATGAGATTTTGATTCACGGAAACTTAATTTTTCAAAATCTAGTGAAAGTAGTAATTTTTCATAAACATAATCATCTATTACGTATATCAAAATTAATTTGGTAGCATGTGACGTCTTTTTATACATATGCGTTAATTTATGCTTCATCCAATTCAAATCCAATAATTTTTTCTTGGTACCAATCAAAAACTGAAGGCTGCTTCATCCACTACAATTGCATTAATTTCTGCCTCTTGATTTTGTATCTTGATTATGTGGCACTCAATTGCACGAATTTCTGTGAATCCATTCATTTAAATCATATTCGGCTACAATCATTAGATCCATATGAATTTGTCTTTAATCCGTGTTTTCAGGTGAGGCACAACATGTTTTCAATTGTTCGAATTTGAGTTATAATCAATTTAGGTCAATTTGCAGCAGAAACAGTTTTTACACTTTGCTTTAATTCTTGTGTGAATTATTAAATATTTTTTGCTTCATAACACGTGTATTATTAGATGTATAATTCATGTACCTGAATAAATATTTTTGATGTTCTTTTATAAATTTATAATTGATAATATATTATTGTTGCTTCTGAAGTAACAAAACATTATAATTCTTATTTCAAAAGCATATTAATTATAGATCTATCTAGTACAGATAGTTTGCTGTTACTCTTGATATAGCAGAATATTATAATTAATATTTCAAAAGAATATTACTTGTTTTTGAAGAGTATGAATTATAATTTTCGATATTCTAAAAGAATATTGATATATTGCTATTGAAAAAATAATAGTAAAATACAACGTGCTCCCAAAATAGTACATGTTTCGAAACATATATTAATTTAAATTAGTATTTATCCCCAACAAAAAACATATAACTCATGTCATGTTGATATTTACTATTTAATTAATTATTATGTAATGTTTAATCACGTTTTTCAAAATTAATTGTATTTTCTTTTACTTTATTGTGTAGTTAATTAAATGGCAAACATTACAAAACTTGAGTTTGCTATATTTGACATATCTGAAAAATACTATATGTCATGAGTCCTGGATGCTGATATTTATCTTATCTCAAATGGATTTGGAAGAGATAATAAAATTATACAAAGTTAGATTGTGCAAAAGCACTTATCTTCATTCATCATTATCTTCATGACGAATTAAAAATGGATTCCTCACTCTGAAGGATCCATAGATTCTTTAGAAAAGTTGATTGGAAGATTTGATCACCAGAGGATTATAGTCCTCTCTAAAGCCCGTTATGAATGGATGCACCTTCGTTTACAAAACTTGAAAACTGTTAATGAGCACAATTTTAAATTGTTTAGAATATGTTTAAAATTGACTTTTTGTGGAGAAAAAACCATGATGAAGATATGTTGGAAAAAAGAATCACTTCATATGTTGGAAAAAAGAATCACTTTTCATGCCTCAAATGTGCTCTTACAGCGGTAATATCATGGCATGGATTCAAAAATCATATATTGTCTACTTGTATTTGAACAAAATAATTAACTGCTGATGAAAATCCTCATATTGAATCTACGAACGAGATTTCAACTGACCTTCCTTTCCCATGCTAGATTCTGATCGAGTTGATTTGGTGGCTCTCAAAAGTAGCAATTCACATTTGCTTAAAGCAAATGTTATGGTATTGCATTGTCTGAAATAAATGTAATATCAAGACAAAGACTTGGACTTGGACGTAGATGCGAACGTGGGAGAAAACATGGACCAAATAATCAACAAACCATCGACAACAAGACAACAATTTTAAAAGATACAAAATAAACGAAAGTAGCATTTCCAAAAAGGAGCACGAGAAAAGTTTCTTTAGATTTGAATGAAAGGGAACTATTCACGTACTAGACAAACGATAAAATATCTTGTGGTTTTCTATCAAAAATCAATCAATAAAAAAAGAGAGAGTAAAGACAAATTTTGCTGATTATAATGATCCAATTGATGTGACTCATTTGGATGTCTCTGATTTTTTTCTAATCCAAATGACAATATTGATAATTTGATTGGGAGTGGTGATGGAAGATATAAATTAGTTTGCGTTCTATAATCTTAATATTTCCCTTTGTTTTAGAAATTTAGTTTGGAATACGTTTTTATTTTTTTTTTCAAAATTTGAGACTTTATTAAATATC